GCTTCATTTTTTCACTTGGATGCTCACACATAATAATTATTATAATACTACACAAGCATTGTTGTATCAGTGTGTAACAATGTACAGCACTTTATAAATGCAACGATGATATCGCCTTGCAGTGGGTGATCTAAGAACGAGAACAGCTAGAGCTATGCAGTTGTATCCTTTGAGCATTACATGTACAATGAACGTTGATTGGTGTATATTGCTTTCACATTCCCCATACGCGTCCTGACAAGCGATCTACGCCGGCTGTGATGGCATGCTAATCCTACAGCTCCTATAATTATGTCGTCAATACTTTTTTGAATTGAAGCCCGGTTTGCGATTTTCGCACCGACTCCCTCCCCCCCCCCCCCCCCCCCCCCAAACGTATGCTCTTCGTTTCAGGGGCTTCTGCGAACTTTTGCGATGGTCCCTAAAGGCAAATGGATAAGCCGCATTTAGAAAAGAAAGGACATGAATTAGAAAATTACGAAAGAAAAAGTATCTGACAGAGGAGTAAAGCGAGTATCAGGGGTGACAGGGTGGTCGAGGCCTCACAGATAGGTTGGTGACTGCCGTCGTAAGCGTAGCAGAGACAGCCCCAACAGAACTCTGCGAGGAATACAATGCCATGTCGTCGGCAAACTGGATGCTGGGTACAGGGTGCAGGACGGAGGGGACGTCGCGGGTGTAAATGGAAAATATAACAGGACCTAGCACAGATCCTTGTGGTACACCACACGTGCAGGGAGTAGCCTGTCTCAGGGTTGTCCCAATGCAGACCATCTGCTCTCGCGCAGTTAGGTAGCTGGCAAACCAGGTGAGGGCCGATCCGCACACACCGACGTCAAACAGATCGACAGTGAGCTGTGTGTGGCGGACTTTGTCGAATGCTTTGGACATGTCCAATGTGCATAGTCCGGTCACATTTCCCCTGTCCTTGGCAGCGAAGAGACTGTCTGTGAGAAGGCAGAGGGAATCCTCAATGGAGTGGTGCTGACGGTAGGCAAATTGGGTAGTAGGGAGGCACTGGTTGGTTCGAAGGTGGCGGACAAGTTGGCGTTGGACGATCTTCTCAAGTAGTTTAGAGATAATGGGGAGTAAGAAACAGGTCGATAATTATTGGGGAGGGAGGGGTCGCCGGATTTATACAGAGGCACGACTGAAGCCAGTTTGAACGCTGAGGACACTACACCAGTCCGGAGCGAAGCACAGAATAGAACGGCAAGTGAATACGCCAGAACATCAGCACATTCCTTCAAAATGGATCCTGGAATTCCGTCACTGAATGTATAAGTCGTTGCTTTCGAAGCCTGATCAGTCTGCAACAGCCTATATATGTATACGTGTAGACATCCGCTGGAGCAACGGGATCGAAGCGGTGGAGCGAGTCCTTGGTGGGTAGGCCCTGGCGGATAATGCTCGGAAAAGTAGCGTTTTCTGCTCGACATTCTGCTCGTATTCTGCCGGTATTCTGCCCCATTCTGCTCGTATTCTGCCGGGTTCTCACGTGCTTGTGAACACAATGGAGCCGTAAATAGGCGCCAGCAGCCTTCTCCGCACTTCGCAGCTGGTTCTGCAGAGTATCTGCTCCTTCTTCTGCACTTTTCTGCCAAATTCTGCTCATTCTGCTCCTTTTCTAAAATAACTCATATTCTGCTCGAAATTCTGCCGGCATTATCCGCCAGGGCCTAATGGTGGGAGGGCCACTTGGAACAGAGAGAACATTGGGACGTTCACGATCCGTGACAATCCGATGGAAGGCCTCGCTGACTTCATCAACCTTGCAGGTTGGCTCTTGGTTGTGGCGTGTGCGGCCGGTGACGGCATTGACTGACTGCCGGGTCGTCCGCGCGTTTCTGGCATTTACTTGACACTGCACGGCAAAATACTGGTTTCGTGTCCGTCGTCGAGCATTACTTGCCTGCGATCGGGCTCGCTTACACTCCTGATCATTCGGAAGCGACTGGTTGGCTCTATCCTCCAACCAGCGGGCATGCAATCTGTTTTTTTGTCTTTACCAGCTGGAACAGCTCTCTATCTGACCAGGGAGGGAGAGAAGCCTTCGTTGCCTTTATCGATGCCAGAGGTGCATTTGCATGAACGCAGAGTAGATCTACCATTTCGCATTTGTCCCACATCTTGTGACATCCTCATGGTTTTCAAACTCATAAAGTCGAGCGGCAGCCAAGTCCTGGCGAAGCAACTCAACCTTTGAGTTGAACCTTGGACTTGGTGTGAAAGTAACAGTTGTCGCCTAGGCTGCTGGCGTGGTGACCAGGTGACTGGTGTACTCAGGAGCACGTGACCGCTTGTTCAACCTTATTCGATTGGGAATAAGGGCCGAATGCTGCATCGCAGGCTTTTCAGTAGGGCTCAAACGGTCACGGTTTTACCCCTGACGGTTAACTGCTAAGCTAACGGTCGGTTAAAGGGGAAGTTAAGGCAAAAATTAAAATTTCACCAGTTGTAGTCTTCGGGGTGCTGAGTCGAATGGTCGTGGTCCGAGGAAGCTGAGACGCTCCCTTCCTACTTGAATCCCAATCGAACTCGCGCACTTCCACCGAAACTGGGTGACTGCGCCCTACTAGATGGGGATTTGTATGCAAAATGTCACTAAAAGCGCCATTTCGTTCTTATAAAAGCACGGATGACCGCGATTGGCCCATATGTTGTAGTCTTTTGGACGCTGAGTCGACTGGTTTTGGTCCGAAAAGGCTGCGATGCGGCGTTCCTCCTTTATTCCCAATCGAACATGGTTGAAGAAGCGGTCACGTGCTCCTGCGTACACATATTAAATGTAGCATATTCAGTGGCATAATCACTGGCATAATGGAAAGCATAATTCAGCAATTTACCGAGCATAATCCGCCATGGGCTGTTTGTACTGAGTTCACCATACCATAAGATTGGATCGCAGCATAGTATAGCACCTGTGATAGTTCTCACCTTTACCTATCAATTTATTGCATGCATTTCACACCCCTCTCTCATGCAGACAGTATTCACACTTCCTTCCTACTTGACACTTCGGTTCTTCTCACATTCTCATTGGTGTTCTCTCTATCACCTTGTGCTATAAAACAAGGCTCTTCTCAGTTGAGAGGCTGTGTTATTTCCAAGCTACTTATGCAATCTATTACAGCACCAGCATCGGCATAATTCCAGCATAATGTAGCATAATCACTGGCATAATTATTTGAGCATAATGGAAAGCATGATTCAGCAATTTGCCGAGCATAAACCGCCAAGGGCTGGATCGTACAAGCCTCCTTTACGGCCAAGGGCTAGATCGACACTGCTCAGACACTGCTCAGTCTCCGGGTCTGGAGTTCGCAAGGAATTCGTCACGCTGGAAACCGAGCGTCTCTGCTGGTTTTCCTGCAAGTAATTAGTAGTGATGCCTGGGCCGCTAGATCGGTGATCCTGCAGCACAAATTTCCGATTACCCTACAGTATTAAAGTACAGTACACTAAATCTCCCCCAAACACAGACTGTATATTCAGCGGGAAATGGTGCATTCTAGTTCTTGCAGGCTTTTCCTAATGGAAGGTTCCCTGTTTTCTGCTTTCGTATACTGTATTTTCGCGAATTTGAGCCGATCAGGTGCTTTTCGCGCTTATCAAGTGGCTCATTACATTGAGCCGCGTATTTTAGGGAGGCAGTTACCGTATTATCTCTAATAATATTATAAGCACGGTCCTTTATTTTTTCAATCTACCTCCGCCCCGTGCTATTCGAGACGTTCCTTTATTGGAGACTGTTCCATCAGTATTATTTCAACCTCATTTCAGAGGCATGTTGCCATGCCAAATTCATGTCAAACACACACATTTCAGGGTTTTTTCGCCGGTACAGATAATGAATTTACACAGTGTGCTTATAATGGAGACTGAGCACTTTATTTTTTGAATGCCGCCCCAAGGTGTTCTATTATTGGAGACGTGCTGTTATTGGAGACTGTGCTTATATTAGAGATAATACGGTAGATGCATGCCCTGCAGGCTGCACCGATAAAGTCAATGGTAAGTGCCATAATCATGTGACCAAGAATACAATATCAATAATTATATGTTTTTTGACGCTCAGGTAATGAAGCAAACAATTACTTCAAGCTAAGTACAGCCTACACATGTATACAGCCATTACAGATGAGCAGAGCAGTGTGGTTATGCCAATGGCATTTTTCACACTGTAGAAATTGTTAGCGAGTAATGAAAGCTCAGACCCCTCATTATGCTTTGTTTTTATCTAGGTCATCATGTGTGTTCTTCGAACTTGTAGCGGCTCAATCACTTGCTGACGACAACAACGAACCTTAGGAGTATTGTAGCATTCATTCGCGGCTCAATCACTAGCTGACGACAAATTGATAGAAGCATCTTTCCGATACAAAAACTTGTACCCGATTTCCATCAGTTCGAATAGCGCGATGACCTAGGTGAAACAAAGCATAGGGAGGGCTCTGAGCTTTCAAGCTCTCTCGTTTCACTCTTTGGTCCCAGTTTCTACTTGTTTTCTCCTTCCTCTATAAAACAATTCCCACACATACCCTGGGATTTGAACCCGCACTATCGCCCTGAATTTCCTCGATATACATTGCATACATACCCAATATACCAAGTTGCTTCACAATTATGATCCTGCTGTTGATAGCCCTATTTGAATATGTGGATGAACACTGGTGACCAGCTGTCTGACGGTATGGCACAGTACAGGACATACCGTAGAATCCCGCGGATAAGCCCACCCGCGTATAAGCCCATGCACGCGCACAAGCCCAGGGAAAGTTCGAACATCGCGAAGCTTCATCGTACAAGCCCATGGGCCTAGGTCGTACCAAGAGTCCATAAATTATGGACTCTTGGTCGTACCATGTACATAGTACATGTACAATAGACATGTAGGTTTTTTTGTACATTTCAACACACACACGCACAATACTAGTAACCACCATTTATATATTTCACACATATGCATGTACATTATAACACCAGCACTCTTGTTCGTA